GTAAATCGCGAGAAGTCAGGAATTGTATCTACGCGACATTGAGTAAAATCAATCGTCTGAAAAAAAATTACTGTACAGCAGAGCTTTTTAAAAATTCTATTTAGAAAGTAGCAGCACATACCACGAAAGAACGGTGGAATAATCACATATTTTTGTGACCATCACAGGAATTTTAAAATCGCTAATCATGCGCTGAATCATAGGGATGAGATAGAACTGGATAAAACCGGCGCAGAAAAGATTTAAGCAGGAGGAAGGACCGTGAAAGCACCCAGCACACGGTTGTCTGATCAGAAAGACAGCTCTCATGCGCAGCAAGCTCAGAGGAGTGCTCAGAGCGAAGAAGAGAAACAGCTTCTACAACTACCTTCCAATATGCCATTTATCACAAATTAGATCTCTCTGCGCCTGATTTATGACCCTTGGAAAGCGGTAAAATAAGCAGATTTCAGAAGGCTGTACATTACTTGTTCACGGTAACGTAGCTGGTATAATGATGATGAGAATACAAGACTCTTTTATATTCGCTAATAGAGGGTTTTTTCATCAAGAGCTGATCTTTCCAGGTGCTCATTCACGCAGACAACATTCTACCAAAACCACAAATGTTACAGAATATGTTGAATTAATCTGAAGCCAATGCAAAGGAAACTGGAATTCAAATGCAGCGAAGAAAAACCAAACGGATGAAGAGAGCGCAATTGCTTCAAGCTCATAATGAAAATCGAAAATCAGCACGCAAAACTCTTGAACAGCCATGTTTTCTCGGAACAAACAACAGAATAACGAGTTGACCGGGGTTATATGGAAAATAAAAAGAGCAAGAAAGATAACCTTTACCAAACCACAAGATGTATATTGAAAAGAACATGACCGAGAGAGTATTACTTTGTCGTACTGATCAGGTCCAATTGTGGTAATGGTAAGAAATGTATACAACTTAATGGACCAAAACATTTCTTGCCGTTATAATAATTTTACTGATTTCGTAATTCTCATTTCCCACCTTCCTTTTCGATTCCTCCTGTTTCAATCGTTGTTAAAATACTTCTATTTCAATTCCATTACACCAATATCCCTACCGTATGAAAAGAAACAACGAAGAACAAAAATTAGCAGAATAGAGCACATCTTCAATGAAGTAACCCAGGGAAAGCCAAGATAGAAAAGCAGGTACGCCGGAAAGAAGAACTGCACCAGTCCTGTAGCAATGATATGGCAAGGCAACAAAACATGCCAAAAAAGTGTCCAGAAGGACGGATTTATCGATGCGATGAGCGCCAATTCGCAGGCAGGTGCTGCATAAGCAAAGTTCATCCATTCGTAGATGAATATAAACGGTTGCTGAATTCAGAGCAATAAATGCGATTACACATACCTCGCAATCCACATCCCATTCGC